GTGCTCCACTTCAATCTGCCTTGCCTTACGGTTGCCATCGATTGATTACTGGCACGTCCCCGGTCGCTTTGCGCCGCTGACAATCGATATCCATCACAAGCACCCGTTGATCACACTGCATCGATCGACTTCGTAGTCGTTTACAACCGCTCAGTTCGGGGACTCCGAGACAGCGGAAAATCCATGCTAAAGCGATGTACGCGGATTGCCACTCCACTCAGTTCTGAATCGATCTCTTCTCACCTTATGGTCCACTTAGACCCGGACAGTTTTAGTTCACATCATTCATTCATATCATATCTCAGCATTATATATAGGAGCTATATTTCGCGACATACCCTGCCATTAAAAAGAAAATGACAGTAAATAAAAGGGTTAAGATTGTGATTATAACCACAACGTTGCTGAGATATTTGCAAAACTCTGGACCGCAGGTGTCTATGGTGGGGAACGAACGCGCTATTGTCCTTTCCGGAGAGTAACGCGTTCACCACCACACCATGCGGGTCCTTTGTTTCGCCTGTCTCTCAGCTATTTCTATCGATCTTTCCCACAGCAATCACCCGTCAGCGGGATTGATCTGGGGCGCCCAAATCGGCATAGAACCCAGTTAAGCTGCGGCTGTAGAAATTAAAAGGTATAACATTGTGATTTCAACTACAGCCGCAGCTTAACTGGGTTCAATGCCGATTTGGGCTCCCCAGATCAATCCCGTTGACGGGTGATTGCTGATGGCAAAAGATCGATAGAACTAGCTGAGAGACAGGCGAAGCGAAGGACCCGAATGGTGTGGTGGTGAAGAGCGTTACTCCCCGGAAAGGACAATAGCGCGCGTTCGTTCCCCACCGCATACACCTGCGGTCCGGAGTTTTGCAAATATCTCAGCATTATATATACAAGTTTTAGTTCAGTTATTTTGACTAGTGAGAAGCGAGTATTCCTCACTAAAGTGGTCCATACCAGCCATGGGTTGCTCGTCAAGCTCTGGCTAAGCGTTCCATCAATCTTCTATCATTCGCCAATGTTGCTGAAGTGAGGAATTTAGAGAAGAACACTCTTGCACGTTATGCGGCGCATCCTCAGGCTTTAAGGGCTTGCTTCACGTTTTCAAATCCGAGCATAACACATCTGTAACAACTCGAAGTGTCATAGAAGTATGAAGCCAAAGATGCGCTTCCAAAGGCCCACTACGCAAAAGCTTTGAACGGTTATCTCACCAACGATACTGAAATTCATAACAGAGAAGAGTGTCGGGTTGTAGATAAACGCAACATTCCTGATTCAACAATAATTTGCCGTTTGAGGGACGTTGAAAAGGGGAAGGAGCTGAATAATTAGCCATGAACTCGACAAACTCCAGCGGGATCTTCATCATAAACACTGGAAAGAAATTGGATCACTTAGAGCTCGTGGGCATTTTGCAAATCCCAGCGTACACTATAATGATGACGGAAGGGGAAAGAGGAGCGTAGCGGTACTGTTGGTGTTCACAATGAGCGCGGTAGTCGTTCGACTCCGTCCTGGGTCCACCAAACCGTTCATTCCTCCGAGGAGAGAATGGACCACTATTCAACCATAGTCGAAAAGATAACGACAATCCTCAAGCAAAAGTCGAACACACAAGTACAGATGTTCGAAGACCTTAAAAACGGACGATGCGAGGAAATTAATCGAATCCAAAAAGTTCTGAAATTTCAATCGTTTTATTTACTGCCTACTCTTTTTTAATCGTAGGGTATATTGCGAAATATAACTTCAATGAAGCTGAGATATTGGCAAAACTCCGTACCGCAGGTGCCTGCGGTGGGGAACGAACGCATTATTTTCCTTTCCAGGGAGTAACGCGTCCACCACCACATCATGTGGGTTCTTCGTTTCACCTCTCTCTCAGCTAGTTCTATCGATCTTTTGCCGTCAGCGAATCAGCAAGTAAATAAAACGATTGAGATTGTGATTACAGTTAAAGCCTCAGCTTAACTGGGTTCGTTGCCGATTTGGGCTTCCCAGATCAATCCCGCCGACGGGTGATTGCTGACGACAAAAGATCGATAGAAGTAGCTGAGAGACAGGTGAAACGAAGGACCCACATGGTGTGGTGGTGGACGCGTTACTTCCCGGGAAGAACAATAGCGCGTTCGTTCCCCACCGCAGACACTATCTATTTAAGCTCCTTGAATCTTTTCGAAGCGATTACAACAAGAAGGTAGTGCCATGAAATTGGTGCAGTCTTCTCAAACTTGCACCACTCATATCCAACGTTAGCCAGCACAAAACTGCTCATGCCCATCGAAGTTCAACAACACGCTGCACTAGTGACGTTGTAAAAGTTGAACAAGTTGGGCTAGGAAACCTCGCCTCATCCACCATACTCCTCACAGCTCCCAGCTAAGTAATTATTCGTTTCTTCTGTTATTCAACAACAACTACCTGTGAAAATCTTCAACAAAAAAACTGTTCTCTACAAATTTGTGAAATTCATCTCCTCCAGGACTCTGATTTCTAAACCATTGAAATCGAAAAAAATCGCATCTTCTTTCTAAAATCTGAGCTCGGTGGTCTGTGTTTCTATTAATAAAGTTGTATAACTTGTATCATTAAACAATTGCTGTCCGAAATCACCCATCAACGTTCTACAGTCTATCACAGATAAACTTGACAATTGTAGACTGTTATCGTTTAACAACATCTTACCAGTCTGACAGTTTAACAGTGTAATTAATTTAAAACCAATGAATTAATAAATAATTGATAACAATTTAAGAACTTGCTTAGTCTGCTTTTTTCTTCTTCAGCGTCCTTTGCTTTTACGTACTGATTAATTTTACTTCCTTACTTACTTACTTGGATACTTGAATCGTCCGCTTTCACGAGTTGTACGGACCCCAGCACATTTACCATTCGTTTCTTTCCCTCGCATTCGTCGTCCATGGTGTTGGTTAGCTTTATTCGAGAATGGTGGCAGATGCGTGTCTCATGCCGTGATCTGTGAAATAACTGCAGCTGCGGCTACAGCTGATTAACTTTGTTTGTGAACACGTCCACCCAACGTGTAGGTGGCCGTCCGTCTTAGGGATCTTTGCATTCTCGTGGAGTCCATTCTAAAGTACTTTCGTCAAGGTGACGTCCTTTCTTCTCATTCTGTAACCGGCCCATCTATGTTTCGCTGTCGATGTATATTCTCCTAGATCTCGAACATGGGACAAATTTCGAAGATCAGAGCTTCGCATTCCGGTTAGGCATTGAGAGTTTCGGTTATATTTCAGAAGATATCGCCCAAACGCTCTGTGAGTAGTTCGAAGCATTCTTGACGTAGTTGAAGTATCAACCCAAGTCCCTACAGCATAACAGAGTGCTGGAAGAACCACGAAATCGAAAATGTGAGCGCGGATTTTCGGGTCCTTCATTTGGTCAGTAGCTTCTTTGAGAGGCCCGAATGCGGCCCAAGCTGTTTCTCATCCTTCTTCTAATTCATCCTTCATGTTTTTTTCATGTTCATTGATCACCCAAGGTATACGACGAGGTGGTCTGTTCAAAGAGAGCCATCCAGTTCAATTTTTTCGCCTTCACACCATGGGTTTTTCATTAAGTGGGTCTTCTTCCGATTTATGCACTCGATATTTTTTCCCGCCTCGTTGAGCTCTTTGATTATCGTCTCTGTTTCGCTAGTACTTTTTGAGAAGATGACGATGTCGTCGGCAAAAAGAAGATTTGATTGGAATTTTCCATTAAGGCATATACCCCTCTCATACCAATCTAGTCTACAGCTTGTTTTCTGAGCAGTGATTGTGCTGTGTTTGTAAGCGAGATTACGTGTGAACAGATCAAAGCATTAACGTGGACGTTTTCTAAATTGCGATCTCTATGCGACACGCGTACCCATTCCTATTTTGGTTTGGATTTTGTCGAAACGCTGTCGATGGAAGCTATGCGGAACTGGAAGGTTAAGACACTTCTGATGTTTCCATCCTATCTGTGCAAACACTGCCTTGAAAAGTAAACCATTAACTTTCTACATTAACAAAAAGCAGAGCAATCATTATCGTTGCGATGTTGCTTTGCTTCTACAGTAGTCACTATTGTTATGACATTGTAATAAACCCTTTTTCATTTACTGCCTATTCTTTTTAACCGCAGGGTATGTTGCGAAATATCCCTGTAAATAAAGTTTTTTTTTGCCATTTCGATTACTAGTGAGCTTACAAAATGGCTTTTTTGCTAGGTTCTATTCCTGTTTTTATGCAGATTTGCGAAGCATAGATTATTTCAAAGAACACGATGGTATTCCTCATTAGCTCTCTCAATTGTGGGGTATTTTACTTTACTGAGCTTAGTGTGTTTTATTAAGCGCATAATAAGTGGCTCATATCTACCTAGGTTTTGTACCAAATGTCATGCTGCCTACGAAGTCTAATATTCTGAAGCCCAATATTCTGCTATTCGCAATGTGCTAGCTAAGAGTTTAGCGATTATTGCAAGGTGGAATATCCGTTAAAAAACAAGAAATTATTAGCGGATAATAACATCGACAACAACGGCCTTGTATAAAAGAGCATAGCCGGGTGAGTTCGGCCCATTCGAAAGTGATGCTCCGCTGTGGAAGATCCAGCTCGATAAGCGACGAAGGTGGCAATTTGAGAACACGAACAACTGTGCACCATCGAATCGGATCATCAGCTCTGGTAAAGACAAAATCGTCGAAACGTTAGCCGAATAAGCAATCAACCATTGGGGAGTGATTAGTAGTGGTAGTGATAGCACTCATCACAAACAAAAAGGTGCATCTAATCCTCGCATAACTCACCAAACCTAATATATTTTGGCCCTCAAAGAATTAGTACCAGACTTCTCTGGAATCAATTAACCACTATCCTGAATGCATGTGAGACCTCAGTGTTGCTCATCCATAATTGGCTGAGTAATTGGCCTTGCAATAATCCGAAAATCTTTATGAACAGTTTATTAGATATATTAACAGAAACACAGTCCACCGAGCTCAGATTTTAGCAAGACGATACGATTTCTTTCAATTTCCTGGTCAGATGCTCCGAGTTTGCTTCGGTGAACTGTTCGCGGAAATAGAAGAATCTCGGGTTTCTCGGCAAGAGCCCGAGAGCGAGACTCTTCCATTTCCGCGAACAGTCCACCGAACCATACTCGGAGCACCTCATCTGTCGTGATGGGAAATGACGCCTCTTGTCCGAAAAATAACGGCCGAGATAACACTTCGATGACAAGGAAAGAAAGTCGAGTTTCTTCAATTTCCGCGAATAGTTCACGGAAGCACACTCGGAGCACCTCATCTGTCGTGATGGGAAATGATGCCTCTTGTCCGAAAAGTAACGGCTGAGATAACAATTATACGCAAGGGACGAATGTCGAGTTTCTTCCATTTCCGCGAACGGTTCACCGAATCACACTCGGAGCATCTCATCTGTCATGATGGAGCATGATGCCTTTTGCTTGAAAAGTGAAATCATCAGTTGCTTACTGGGAAATTTCGTTGAAGGAATGCCATCTTAATAGATATTATTTGTTTTGAGAAGCTTTGTTATCGTTTTGTTTTACATGATGTCTTTTGAAGTTTATCTCGTGTCAAGACATATTACCCTGCCTAAAAAATCGTGATTGGCAGTAAATAAAGTGTTAACGTTATGAAGTAGACAGTATTTCCAATGTACCTTTGTATTGTGCATTTTTGCCACGACTTTAGATTGTTATAATCACCCGTTAAAGTGATCTACTAACGTGTTCAGGCTTCTCCATACGTGTCACCAGCACAGCGGGCCACGTCGCTGTTCGTTGCTGCGTGGTGTGGCGTGTAACCGCATGCCGGCTACTCAACGCGTACGCAGCAGTCGTTCACCGTAGTTTTCAGATGCAATTCCTTCCTAATTTCCTACTTTTATGGTATTTCAAACTTTCAGCAGTTTTTTCTCACAGTTTCTTAGGCTTAGCATTTGGGGTCTAGCACTTTTTCCAGTCTTTTCGCGTGTCACCGTCTTCACCCGAGTTCCTACACAAACCAGGAGGAAAAGCGGAATCTCGGTTTATGTGAATTTAAAATTGGAAGTAACTGTTCTTCAAAAAGGTGTGTGCAATTCTGCTTATGGTCTTTTGGACTGAAACTTGTAAAAATCTCATGCCTGACATTTGTAATCTTGTACCCCGATCACGTCTACTTCCTCTCGATTTGTTTCTCAGTTGTCCATTGAAAGCCTGCTTTTATTGGACCCATTTCAACGCAAAATAAACGAAGTGAATCAAAATATGGAAATGATTTACAAAATGGTTACGATTTTCGGTACAACAACACGAGTTTTTTGAGGCAATTGAGTTATATATTATTTTGTTTCGAATTGAGTTTAGAGCCGAGCACATTTTTCGTGCAAAGGTTGATAGTGACTGGTAATGACTCAATAAAGACGCTGCATTTTCGCATTTCATTTACAACAGTAGTCAACATGAGTTCCTATATCGGCTAAGTTCATCCTTTCGTCGACGAGCACTGAAAAAATTGCATTCGTTTCGACTTAGTGAAACGGGTTTATCGTAGTTAATAACATGGTACATGGGCGAAGTAGTGCCTCCGGCAGCCACGGCGACCACAGACACGGTTTTTAGGAGGTCGGTTCAGCAGAGTCTTTGCTGGAATTCTTCTTGCTCAAAATGCTGTACCTCATCCATGATTTTTGATATATTTGACGTTAACCAGATCAGAAACCAACTGCGAGAAACTTTTTTCTGATCATTCACGTGAAGGGTAATCAAAACCAGGGTTCTCCATTTATACAGAGTTCTTTCCAGTGAAGCTATGTTGTAGTATTGGTCGCGAAAGACTTATGTTTTCTGTGACTTCTATCTGCTAAAATTACTCAGTTTTGATGTTATTTTGTCCCAGAACCGCTTCTGTCTTCGCGCTCTTAAGGCTCAGAAATACCAAATATAAATGAAGAAAGTAAACTCAAATGTAGCTTCTGGTACAATTTGTTACAATACGTAATATCTAGGCAACCTCCAGTAGCTTTTTATGCTTAAAGCGAAACAAATTTTGCTGCAAGGATCCTTTGAAGGTGCTACTTATTACGAACAATTTTGGCATTTCCCAGTAAGATCTTCAGTCGTATTTTCTTCTCAGAAGCTTCTTCGGTGTTAGTGGAGATAAGACACGAATTTCGGGAAAGAGGGACTAGAGCGTATTCGGCACAACTACTAAGCCTGCCAATGAGCAACTTTGTAGTCCGCCGTCCATTTTAGGTGTTCTCATGGTGAAGTCGCTCCTTTCCCACCAAATAACTTCAGTGTTTGAAATAATAGTAATCAACTGTCATTTGAAAGTTGCAAATTTTGAAGCAGATGTCTTTGATGTTCGGCAGCAGATGTATTATAGTCCTGAAAGTAAACTCTTTTTATGGAAAACTATGAATCACTGCATTGAAAAGATTTTATTTTATTCTGGAAGCTTTGCAACATCAAGACCCGATGCCCTAAGTGGCAATCTTTGGTTCCCATGATTGTGGCTGTTATCTTCGTGAGTGGGAACGCTCAACACGATTCCAATGCGAGTAATTCGACTTTTCCAGTCTAACCGGGGCCTACTCATGTACTCCAATGGTTTGTGCCCAGAATCTGAAACTAACATAAATGAGACCGTCCCAAGTCGTAGTAAACCAAGTACAAACCTCCAATAAAAAGCAAAAAGATAAGGCTCTCGACGTTGGTCAATCCCTGAGGGATGCGCCATGCATTGGACTTCATTAAGCACCGTCTCGAGGTGATTGAATGCATATCTGGCCTTTACAATGACGCGCGTTGGTCGACCGATGTATCGAGCCAATGCTGCTATCCTCCAGACAAGTTTGGTACCAATTTGCCAACCCCGGAGAGACGGAAGGTTTAGTGAACCATGGGCGCAGGATCCATCCAATCTGTGTGTTGCAGGGCGCCTCCGACCATTGCACCACATGCGCCCGTAAAGCTCCAGCAGAGTGCGGTAATCATGGATGTATCGGCACAACTCTACTGCATTCTTGTTAACACATATTATAAGTATTAAGGTTGACTATGATACAGAGAACTTTTTTGGTCGCACACGCCCTCGACTTGCGAGCGGAAATAGTACACTCCCAGTGAGAATTGAGAAGCGGTTGAAATATGATATTTATTTATTATTTCTATTTTACATGATCTTCACCTCATCTTCTGTACGGATCCTAACAATTCATGAATTTGATTTGTTTTCGTCGGAATGATCGTCCGTTGAGGTCGTCGGACGTTTCACTTGTTCTTTCTCTTGGTGCTTGAGGATTTCGTCTTCTTTATGAATTTAATAGTATGCTGATCAAGTCGATCGATTTTTATTGCAATGTTAGGTATACATGAAATATGACGTTTCCACGTGGACTGAGGAAAGCGTTGACGTGGCAAGGGAGAGAGTCGAACCAGCGCCTTTCTTCTTGATATATTGCATTACTAACCACTGCGCTCTCTCTTCTCCCTGATAATATTAATGGAGGCAGGCTATCGATGGTTTACAAAAAAGTGCAGCAAAAAATATCCCTGGTCCACTGAACAGACCGTGTTCCAATTTCGGTACACGTGGCTGTCACTGTGCTGACGATAAGTGAAGGGTTGTTGCAAAAGTGTTTTGCACCGTCATTGTCAAACACACGTGTAAGTCCACAGTGATTTCTGTTGAACAAAGTAAAAATGCTTGGGTATACAAAGATCTGTCGATTTTTGCGCACAACTTACGAGCTCACTTACCTCATAACTGTTAACTTTCGGCTTTTTGCTAACCATGGAAGAAGATTAGTGTTCTGACTTCGCTGCAAGAGCTTCTCAGATTGTGGTAAATGTGTGTAGAAATGCAACGGTACAGCGGCAAGCGAAACGTTGAGTGCGTCGTGCGGGGACTTCAACGTACTAGAGTGCCAATTCAATCATACCTGCAGCGGTGTGTTTGAGAAATACCTGTCGTTAATGGATCTCTTTTGATGTTGCGGCAATAATCCTTCGATCGGTTATACTTTTTCCAATTTATTACCGCTCCTTTATGAGGTATAGAGGTCGTTGGGGCGTACATTCGCAAAGCATCTCTCATGACTTCATCGTTACTGTTCCTTAAGCCTCCAAAAATAAAGAAAAATTTTATTTTAGCAAAACAAGATTGCATGTCCCTTTTTGGTACCGTTCTGTAAAATCTGTTGGCTTTTATTTTATTTTATACCATTTAAAGAGAGATCGGATATATGTGTTAAAATTGGAAACCGTGACTATTTTTGCACTAAACGCATTGCATCCGATGCACACGAAACATGTTGCAGTGTTCTGGGATTTTTTATTCCTTCATTTTTAAACTGAACCTTTGCAATATCGTTTCGTTCTTTTTAAGGGAATTTAAGCATGAACGAAGCACATTCCCACTATAAAACAAATGTTCTAAATGTCGGACATGCCTCATGTGAAGCTTCACTGCAATGAAGCGATGACATTTAGGAGATTTTTGACTGAATCCAGGCACAAAAGAGAATAAAGGTTCTTACTTGGCCTTATCGGAATTGCGGGTTGTCTATTGACTTTTCCAAGGGATCTATTAATGTAGCTGCAATCATGTTTGGAAATCGAAAATGAGACAATTTTTATGTATACGACTACCTCTTAAGATTCTTCTGTAACTCTCATTTAATTTCGTCAATTGACGCTTCTATCGACTTCTCTCCTCAGCGAATCGCCTTTTCATCCTAGGCGGATGTATCTGGCTATTGAAGTGTGATCAGCCCCACAAAAAGCAAAGAGTTCAACATTTTTCCCCAGAAATTCAGCTATGATTAATCTTATCACCTTTGCTACAAAAAGCCTAGTAAAAACTACTTCTGATAAAAAATAAACAAATACTTTGCGGCAACAAGCCTGGAACAATGTGTCACGGAAACCCTAAGACTGAAGTGAAGGTGAGAAATCAAAAAAAAAACAATCCTTACAGAAACCGTGATGAAGTCAAATTTTTCTCTATAAAAATAAGCTCTTCAACTAGTCAAAAGTTAGGTTATTCTTCCACGATGCCGCGGAATCGTTGGGTGGTGGTAGAGTTGCCCTAATCCTGATAAGCAAGTTCTCTACTCACAAACAGGATTTCAGCAATAGTTGTTAATCCTACGCACCCACATGCGCTTATAAATATCATAAATGACCTTTAATGTTTATTTCATTTAATACTGGAAGCAAGACATGGAAGAATCGTGACATTCAAAATTATTGTATTTTTTGCGAGATTTTGAAATGAAATCCAGCTGGAACATTTTCTATGCACTTGACCGATTATTTCACGCCGTTCTGACCCCAATGCTTGTAAGATTCGCTTCTTTTCTTCGCATTCGTTGCATTCGTCGTC